TTTTAATCCCTTTTTTAGGTTCAGAATTATGACATGGTTTGGATGTTATCAAGCAACCATGTACTAAATTGGGCCCAATGTTTTCTAGTAATATATTCAGAAATGATGATTTTTACACAGAAATACGTAAGAAATTTTGGAAAGTGTCGTAAAAATCTGCTTTCAATGATTCCACGTTTTAGGATAAATGGAATCTCCTCATGTGATGCCATTAGTTCTAGACATCTGTCCACTTCCTGTAAAATTCCAAACATTTTCCTAGTGCCATAAAACTATTCATTACAGAAGTGTCCAGCAAGAAATACAAATGGTAAAAACCCGTCATATGCACCTTAATCCAATAACGCATTATCCAGCTTTCATAAACATGAACAAAGACTTGATTCATAATTAACAACTATTATGAAGGGTTAGGCTTCGTTATTACCCCACAAAGAAGTATCTCATTCATAATAAACCATTTTTAGATTGTAAATTCAGACCTTCTGCAGGTTTGATTTAGGTAAAGGATTGAGGCAGTTAGTGGGAGTTTGGGTGAAAATGTCAATTATTAAGTGAAGTTAACGAACCAAATCGTTGGTTTATTGGATTAAATTACTGCTTAATTGGACAAGCTGTCAATAAAAAACAGAATAATCTTATTTCCTTCTGGTAGTGGGGCAGGTAGAGGAATGTGTGTAAAGACATCATTTCGGTAGATAACTGATCTCTCTTGAGAATGTGTTGATTATGAATGAAGCCTTTATTCAATGGTAATAATAATAAAATGTTACCCAGAAATCCAAAACAGCCTTAAAATCTCAGGACACAAGTTCAAATCCTGAGAAAACCTTTTAAAATCAGTCCATCGTCCATGTAATTAAGAACAGCTTTAATTTTTCTCAGCGTTATACGTGGTCTAAAACCCATAGTCTTCCGTCAGCGATTTAACAATATGGCTTTATAACAGAGAAACCATCACGAACAGATGCTCCAACGGCAATGGCACAAACATGTCTAGAACTACATCTCCCATAGTCCTTTGCCCGACAAATACTGATATGACAATGTTGTGGGTAAACTTGAAAAAGTGTTTTCAACAAGACTTGAATTAAGAGTTTAGTGGTTTTCAACTTGGAGGGATAGGGCCATTATTTATAAAAATAATATATATAATGATATATACTTCCGGATTTGTTTTTGAATTTTTACTTTTGGCAGCTAACCCACTTTACACGATTAGCATGCCTTTCCCCAAACTCCAATAATAACCAAATTAACAAAGTGCAAACCATAAAACGAACCCTGATCAAGGTGGTGGGCACGAATAAGCTTTCTTGTTTCAGCCTACTCCTTTTGAGCTACTTTATAACAGTGTAATCTTGAAATAATGAAAAATATGTTTATAAAATGCTCAAATAAATACCAATTAATCAATCATGCCACAAATTTGGTGAACTTATAAAGTAAGCTAACATTATGCTAAGGATGACAGCAGTTTAGTTAATCATTTATAACTATGCTAAGCTACGTTAATTATGTCTTCAAGTGTTTGACATAATTTAACAGCCAAGAGATCCTTTATTCCATATAGCTGCTGACATTTAAAGTTTATATAAAGTAATAATATATATCAATGTACTTTGGTGTTGTCCAAGATGTTAGCCCCACACTGGCCAATAGAAAACCACTTGACGATAATGATACAATTGTTGGGCTGGAAGACTTGTTGTAAGAGTAAACGAAGCTTGTGCCGTTCGGAGCCACACTTATCTTAAATAACAAAAAAACATTATTTTACAACATTGTTCAAGTTCCCCACGACGCTTTGAGCACTTTGAGCACCAGCATACACACACTTACTCTCAAAACTCGAACCGATTTTCATGTAACGTTGATATAGAGGCATCTTCAGAGCAACAATAGCAGTTAAATCAAAAATTATAAGAAAAGTTCCAATATTGCGTTGAAGTGGCTTTTTAGATTTTCGGGAAAACATGTTTACATGGAAATAAATCCATTCTTTAAGACACAAGTGAATAGGTTTGTGCAAACTCAATCTGAATCATAAAATCATAACCAGTAGTTTACTCTGAGGCCTTAGAAAGTAGTAGTAGTTTTGAATAGCGAGTCGTCCTCTGGGATTGGATTAAGAAATGAATGAAATAATTGTAAAAAATGGGATTCATAAATTGTGATAATAGAATTTTGATTGTGTCCGAGATGGTCCATAGTTGTGCACCGAGTTTGGGAAAGTTATATATCAAAGTTAATAATTGATCATTGAAATATAGATGGTTGTGTGATTTTTCCTTTAGGGACTCTCTAAAATCTTAATATTTCGTCCAAATAAGCTAACCTACCCCATTACCAAACCAAATGATAATTTTACTCCAATTCAATTAGTAATGAGGAGTACTGCAAAACAAGTTACCAAATGGATCCTGGTTGTTAAGAGCTTTCAATTAAGGTATAACATAACTGATTTACATTTGGTGGCGCTGAAGTTGCCTAAATGATTGCTTATTTCCATCGATACCGAATTCTAGAGAAAATGATGCGTTTAAGGGCAGAGCTCTAGTTGGCTGGATGACCTTATGTTTCTGATCTCTGCTTTGGGATAGTATTAGCGTGATCTGTGAGGAACCCCAGTCATACAGTCATGAACAATAGATAGATAATAGTGTAATTGTATCACAACAATTTAATTTAATGCGCAATTTGAGGTTTAAAATGAGGTATACTCTCTCGGCCAATAAAGACCGAGAGAGTACACACAATGAGATGAGTGGAGACGATAACTGTCAATGATAAAAACAATCTGAACCAGTCCCTATCTCTCTCAGCCCGGGATGTACTACCAAGATTTTAGCGAGTCCACTGGTACAGCCTGTGTTAGCATGCTAAGCTATGCTAACATTGCGCCAATCACGTTCAAACATAACTTAATAAACTGTAAATGCAATTATGTTAAGAAAGTTTTAGGCTGGATTTACCGCTGGGAATTTGGATTTAAAAAAATAGTAAGTTAATCGGATATTTATTTTTATTTTTTTATGTGAAATTCCTGCATAATTAAATTACAAACAGATAAATATTAGTTCCTGAATTGACCACTGGAGAAAGTCTCTGCGTCTTCTCAATTCCAACTTCTGAGGACAAGAGGAATGCAGCATGAAACGCTTCAAAACGTTAGGGTTAGGGTGCTGCTAATTTGCTGTTTAAACCTGTGCCTTTCCCATCATACATAAAAGGTTTTTTTTCTTTTTTTTTTTTAAGTCTTAAAAATGCCATCTAAAACAAAATATAGGAACTTTACATTGAGAAAACAAAGTGCAAACCATCTTTTCCTACACATGTCAGCATGCTCCAGGGTCGGGGTGGCAGTTACTTGGCGAGGGGGAAGTTTATGGCAGTTCCAGTGTTTGTTTACTCCCCCCTCTTGAAGAAGACGACGACTTAGCGGCTTGTTGCTACGCTAATCTTTATCGACAAACTTTTACGGTCACGTGTGATTGCCGTACGCTCGAGGGAATCCAAAATGGCTTCCGTACAAACCAGGAAGTCCGTAGATTTTTAGGTCCGTGATGTGAGAACAAGAAAACAGAGTGGTTTTTTGAAGGGGCGGGTGGTGGGTAGACCGCGATTTAAGAATTCAGTTAAAGCTGGGGTACCCAACTTTCAAACTACAAAAAAATCCAGCTATTTCTATCACTGGTACACATAGTAGTATACACATATTTTGGCCTTTGTCATATCTTTAGAATCATTTTTTTTCACACAGAAAAGTGAAAAAGAGAGGCCCACCCTCACTCAACCAATCCGCTCTCAGCCCAAAGCGTCAGTGACTCATGAGCCTTTTTTACAAGACTGCAGAAGATAATACGCTTAAGGGTAAAGACTGCATGTTGTGGTCTGATTTAGCATTTTACTTACTCTTTCTGATGGGACCAACATGTTATATTAATTAGACAAAAACGCAGGTACCCCAGCTTTAAGGCCCCGATCGAATGTACTAACATTGTTGAAACCAACCCACAAGGTCCGACTTCCCCACAATGCCCTGAAGGAGTCGGAGGAGCGGTAAGGGGCAGCACTGGGTCCACAGTCCGTCTCTTGAGTCTCTGCACTAAAACATGTTTGTAGAAGATTTGAAATGACTTGAATTCAGTATTTTGTTCTAAACTAGATCTATTTACTTCATGACCCTGGATGTCATGTTTTTGGTCTCGACAGAATATAAGAGTTTGAAATACATCCTTTTCGCCGTTCCGCGTGTAAAACTGAAAGTAGGTACTACGAGACGCAGCTTACTTTACTTACCGTTGTGCTCCTTGTAAATGGAACAAGCACAATTTCTAATGTGTCTCTGGGTTTTGGTGGTGGTCATCCAGGACATTTAAGGACATTTAAGGTCATCCTGCTCCCTATGCAGCAAAAGACTGTTTGATATTATTAAGTTTATTGTGTTTGACATTTTTGATTCTCTGATCTGAAAGCTGGGGTACCTAACTTTCAAAGAAAAATATTTGAAACTATGGTATGTAACCAGTTCATCGGTCTCAAAACAGATTATCACTGTTACTAGTTGCATGTATACATGTAATACATGCATGTATGTTTGGCCTCTGTGACAGCTTTAGGAAAAGAGAGACCCACCCTCACTCAGCCAATCATCTCTCAGCCCAAAGCGTCCAATAGTGACTCACAGGGCTCTATTGCAAGTATGAAAAAGATAACGTGTTTTCTTTCTGACTGGTTCCATGTTGTCTTTTTACAAAACTTTCTGTTGGGATAAAATGTATTGTTTGCGTAAGTAAGATATCCCAGCTTTAATAATAATTTTAGCGTCAGTGAAGTAAAATATTGAATTAAAAGTATCAATTATCAACTCTTCAAACCAGAGAGTAAATAAATCCATCTATGATAAAAATTCAAGTCATTTCAAACCAGATCTACTGCTGTTGTGAGTGCGCGCTCGGTCCAGCAGGGGGGGGGGGGGGGGGGGGGGGGGGGTGCGCTCAGTTCAGCAGGTGCTTCTTGGGTCCGACTCGCGAGCGGTTGGAGCGGCGTGCGTCTGGCCCCACCCCGTCCTTGGCCACGCCCCCTCGCGCCCGGCAGCCCTGGCATACGTAGGTCTCGGGGACGTGGCTTTTGCGGATCTTGGCGCAGGAGAGGTGGATCCACGTGTTGCAGGCGTTGCACTCGATCATGGCTCTGCCCGCGAATGGCTTCATGCAGAAACACGTCACCAGGTCCCACGAGTCGTCGTCTGCGGAAGAGAAGGACACAGGGTAAAGACCGCTGTGAGTCTGGTGGGTGTGAGAACTGCTGGTGGTGCTTCTGTCAGTATGCCCCAGGGCAACTGTGGCTACAGTAATAGTTAAATAGTTAGGAGTGAATGAATAATGCCATGTGAAGCAACCCAAAAAAGTGCTTTATAAAAATTATGCATTATAATTACTAATAATCAGTTCATATTTGATACAACCTTAATTAACCTAAATTGAAGAAAAATAAAAATTGAATTTGTTTTTATCTGGGTGACAGTTGGGAGTGTAATATTGACATATTGACCAGTCCCATAGATTCCCATCTATAGCTTCATTTTTGAGATGCACAGAAGCCCCTGACTCTCAAGTCCAACTCTCCAACTCAAATCCAAGTCTTAGTTTTATACAGATTCTAATGACGATGCTTAAAATAAAAAATGTGTCTGTGTTCTGTTGGTGTGAGTCTGACCTGAGTCCACCATGATGTCCTCGTCCTCTCCTGACCCGTCCTCGTCTCTGAACACCACTTGTTTGCCCTGTCTGAAAACGGTCCTGTTAGCGGGCAGCCCCTGGGCGCTCTGCAGATGCATGGGGCTTTCTCGGTTCTCCCACAATCCTCTCTGAGTGAACTCTTCCTTGACAGCGGCGGAGGAGGGGTTGGGCAGCGTGATGAGCTCGTCCTCAGGCTCCTCTTTGATTGGCCGGCTGAACTCTTGCGTCTCGTCGGGGGAACACTCGCGCTCCTTCCGCCGCTTCTTCTTTAGTTTGTCGGCTTTTCTGCGCTCGTCCATGTGAAACGAGCCCATGGTGTGCTGTCGATCAGAACAAGGTTAGTTTAAAAGAATACGATTTCAACACTAATGTCAAAAAAGACATTTCAACACCGATCCAGGAGTCAGCAGTGTGTTCCCTCTAGGGTTGACAAAGGTGTCAAAAATAGTTTGAATTATTTGAACCTGTAGCCTCTTCTAATAAAGGCTGTTGATTCTAATCTACGATAAGTGCCTGTAGCACCATGTTCCTTCTCTGTGGATCTTTGAAACATTTTAGTCAATGGGTTCAACACATTTCATCAGCCTCCTTTCTCCACTGCTTTAAACTTCATCAGGAAAACCAGGAAATCATAGGTGGCGTTATCATAAGCACAATAGGTTTTGAGTTTGAAATGTTTGTATTGTGACAACACATTTCTGTGAGGTACCCCCTTCTCACCTCTTTGAGAGCACCCCCTGGCTGCGGGCGTTTGCGGTTGCGCTCTTGTGGTGTTGGTTTGTTTGGTCGCGGCGCACATGAGGCAGAGGGTCCTGGAGTCCAGCCATCACTGTCTGCGGTGCTGCCGGTGCTGTTGGGAGGACTGGAGCTGCTGCGCACTGGAGAGTCCTGGAGCATCGGAACAGTCATAAAAAACATTTGAGTTGAGTCGTTTTATATTTATGTACCTATGTGTGGCAGAAGCACTTTGTTCCTACTTGAACTGACCTCTTTTAGTTTCAATACAATTTTTTGTTATCCTGTAAAGCTATTAGAGATCTATATTATATATCGAGATATTTTATCCTTCATACCACCCAGCCCAAACCAATATCCCGTGTCTTAACCTGCCGCGTTTTGGATATAATTTGGAATTCGCACACCGCAATAAACATCATTAACCCCTTGAGGCCGGGAACGCATTCCCGTGTTTCTACCTTTGAAGCCGGGAGCGCTGTTGCACACTTCTACCTTTAGGGCCGGGAAAGCAGCCATAACGTGGTCATGTACCTCGGACCATAGACGCGCGGACAGAATCATACACGTGCGATCAGGACCATCCCCAGCTTGTTGCACATGCGGGTCTTGCCTGTCTCCATCTCTCCCCCATGTCTCCTCATGAAGCGCAGCCAAAACTCACTGAATTAAAGCTCAGGTACCTAAATTTTTGCTTGCATTGACAATGCATGTTATTTGTGCACAAAAGTAAAATGTTGTGAACAAACAACAGTCGTGTTTTTTTTATTTTGCTTACTTAAGAAAGAGCCCGGTGAGTCATTATTTGACTTTTTGGGCTGAGAGTGGATTTTTTAATATATTTTTTTCCATACAGTTAGTGCCACTTTATTGCCAAACTCTTTTTGACTTATTGTATTGAGAAACATGTGTTAGTCTCACATTATTTTTGGTTGTTTTATTACATTTCCTGTGTGGAAGTTGTATATTTTTTGTATTATTCTACTGAAGTTTTATAATAATACACTGCATTCTTATTGAACACCGCAAGTGTCAGCTCTAAAATTCTTTAGAAATTATGCTTTTGTGTGCAACAGAGGCCGAGATATCAATCATTCTCTAGACGATGAATTTCAGGAAAACTTCAGGTTTTGGAGGTGGTTCTGAAGTCGGCCTCAGGTTTTACAGGTCTGTTTCACCAGGTGGGTCAGGCCTTAATGGGTTAAATACTTCTTTTTAGATAAATGATATACATTGAAGGAGGCTTCTACACGCTCAGTGTTTCATACAGGTGAACCTCTCACACATTTACTCAGCCGTGAATCTCATCTCACCTCCTGTGGATACGGGATGTAGCCAGCGTACGCCAAAACAAAAGTGCAAAACTGGTTGAAGTCCTCGACGGTCCTCCTCCTGCGGAACTGCGGACTGAAGCCCTGAGAAAGCAAACGCCAAACATCAGACAGAGTCGAATGAATTATGGACAATGAACACAAGTCGAAATGAACAGTTGATGAAAAGCGCTGTCTTTTTCATTAAAACAAAGTATTTTCTGAAAAAGTCCATGAGGATATCCTGCAATGGTTTCTCTTTGGAGTCTATTGAGATTTACGTTTGAAACGACAAATCGATAAGCATTTGCACGTCTGCTTTCACCTGAGCTCCGTGGCATTTCAATAATAATAGAATTTTAATAATACATTAGGTTTGTGTAAATGTGAAATGTAATGAATTATAAACATCTCAAACAGATAAACAAAAAAGAACATTTACTAGTAACATCAACTTGATTACATCACAGAAACATCAAGGCTCCTCATATGTTGGAATCATACTTTTTTCTATGTGGATTTATAGGTTATTTTGTGGATTACAAAAAATTCATACTCAAAAATATACCATGAGAGATTACTCATTAACTATTACTGTAAAAGGACAGAGACAGACATTTAGCAATTAAATATTATTGTCTCACTGCAGTTTCATTTAGACTAATACAACTCTGTACTCAAGTTGGAAAAAACACTTGTACACAGTGTATTAAAGCAGGGATACCTGCCACAATTCTACTATGTAATAAAATACAAGTAACAAGATCCTTGCTCTCAACACATTTTTTGCTCTGTCGTCACATCTAACAGACAGAAAAGTGAAAAAGTGAAAAGAAGAGGACCACTCTCACTCAGCCAATCAGCTCTCAGCCCAAAGTATAGCGCCTGACAGGGCTCTTTCTTACAAATATGCAAGACAACATATATTTTATATTAAATTTAATCAAGATGTGGACAGTTGTGGGAGAATTTTAACACAAAATTGTTCTCTTAAAAGACACTTTCTGTCTTTATGGGGCAAACAACATGTATTATTTAAGAGGGGAAAGTTGGATACCCCAGCTTCATTATAATCACGTATCAAATAGATCTAGTTAAAAGCAATCACCACTGTCAAATGAGTCTTAAACAACTATTATAAGCCTTTGTGCGATCTCTACACGCATAGAAAACAGTTACAACACTAGACAGCGCAGGTTATTCATTTGACAGAAGAGCAGCCAACAAATGCTCAAAAAGAGACTTCAATCCCAGCCAATAAAACACAGATAACAAACATCATTGACACAACGATTCCTTAAGAAACGCATGCATTTGTTTGAGAATAGTCAAGAGCGTTTCTGTACAGGTCAAACAAAATTCCTACCAACCCCCACCAACCAAGCAAGCAATGAAAACAGTGGAGTAAAGTAAAGCTAATGCTAAAACATGAGGTGTATCTCGCTACAACTTCATTGACAAATTCAATTAATGTTAATAAGAGAAAGTGTGCACCAAAACCAGTTGATATCAGCCTCCATTACCAAATGCACACGCTTGTTTTGGCTGTTTGTTGACGATTTCTGCACAAAGCGTGCGTGATTGAGTGGTTAGCATCGTTAGCATCGCAGCTAGGATGATGGAATGCCTAGTTTCAAGTGAATTGACAAAATGTTCAATTTGATTTGGTGACAAAGAGCAGCGTTCAATACAAGCAAATGCGTGGCTAAAGTGCATCCCAGTGTCATTTATTAGAAACTTATGTGTGGGAATTGTGCGGCTGAAGTCGATGCTAACTCGGGAGCTAGCTGTGACAAGTTGACGTCTGCCTGCACTTGCTTTGCTAGCCGCGTCACGTCGTGCAGCAGCTAGCTCGCTAAAGAATAGTTGGATGAAAGTCGTACCTCGGGTTGAAACGTGTGGGATGTGGACGGGTTGATATTATCCATCTTCAGTGAATGTCCCAGGACTGTTTAGCGGTACTTCCACGTAGTAACAGCCCAGTTTCGTGAACCCCAAACACAGGGCTAGCGGTGCGGTGGAGGAGGCTCGAATGGGGAGCAACAGTGTCCCTTCGCTGGGTGAGATAAGTGCGCGAAACGTGGATGAAAAGGGCGGATGAGTTGGGGCAAAGTTGCGGGGATGTGTCCGTAGAGGTGCGGAGGATTCTTTCAGCGGTGCGCCTTGTTCGTGTTGTCCGCTGTGCAGGAGAGTGTTGTGGGGGAGCTTCTGTCACGGCTGCCAGTCTCCTCCTGCTCCACATCTGAGGCAAACTACGCCCCCGCGTGGCCAGCTCTGGGCACTACAGCGCAGGTTACAACATGGATTTGTTATGGTCTGGTCAAGGAGACGATAGTATACCAATGAATGTTGTGCATGTTATTTGACCAAATATACAATATACATGACTTTTTATAGTACTAGTAATTGGGATAAACATGTAACGTTAAAATGAAAATAAGTTAAACTACTTTGAAGAACTTTTTCAAAATCACTAATTATACAGTATTCAGAATCAGAATTCTTTTATTGCCATGTAAGTAACAAGAAGGCATGCATAAATAAAAAAATCTACATACATTTCTTCAGTTTACTATATACAGAGCACTATAGGTTCACACAATAGTTAAGAGTGCGGTAGAGTGTAGTAAAGTGACAGAAATGTTGTTTCAAATACTGGTGTTTCCGGACACAAACAGCTAAGTTTTCCCTTTTGAAATACACACGTTATATGTAACTGTTTTTAAAAGACAAAACAAAGTAAATTAAATTAACTATGCACTTGAGTTGATTATTATTAGTGATGTACAAATGTAACTCCTACCATGAGAGAATACTCTATTACTAATGTAAGATTTTTTTTAGCTATAATATTGGTGGCCCCTGACCTTAACAGTGTATGTTTGTTTTCTCTGTCTTCCTGCTTGTCATCTGTTACACTAATGATGATAATAATAATAAACCTGCACCACTATTGACACTGTTTCGGATTGACACTTTAAAATTGACACTTTTTATTGTAGATAATATATCCTGCATTTAACATGTTTGCACATTTTCTCTCTTTTTGCTCAATATTGAGTGTTTCTATCCATGCCAAATGTGACAAGTAAATTTCTTCTTTGTGAGATAAATAAAGCATATCTTCTCTTATCTTATCTTAATAATAATAATAGCATAGTAGCATTTTAAGTCAAAGGTGACAGCTTCAGTTTTGTAACTGAACACAGAAAAAGATACGTGAGCACTAACTTCAAGTGTAAAATACTGTATATTATTGTGAAAGAATGATGTTGTTTGTGTACATCTGTACATGTTAGCAGCATGAGGGCTTGCAGCTCCACAGACCTGACCTGTGGCAGTGTTTCCTTTGCTACAATATACATCAACATATCATATCAACCTTCCCGGCCCCTGCACTCCCCAGCAGTAGGCTCTTAGTCATTCAAAAAGTCAGGACTCACAGTGAGGCATCTTTCCAAAACTACGGCCCCTGTCTCTGGAAGAGAAGCCAGAGCTCAGGGCCGCAGAGAACATACATGTTTTTAAAAGCAGCCTCAAAACACATCTTTTTAGATTAAATTAGTATTTAAGAGATTTAAAACATTTCGCTCAACAGGAAATTCTTCATGACCTATTAATCTTTGATTGGGAGAAATTGTACTCTATTGCTTATGTACAGCCTGCTTGTTCATATTTTTATGATGGCTTTCTGAGTTTGATTAACAAACATGCCCCTTATAAAAAGTACAGAATAAAAGGCTGTCACAATCCTTGGTTCACCGCTGAACTCTCAGCTCTCTTGCACGACCGGGATCTTGCATTGGCCAAAACCAGAAAAAACAATTTCAATTACGAAAGCAAAAGCTGACTTTTACCTTTCTCAAATGTCTGAAAGTCTAAATAGTCCCAAAAAATGTTGGAAGTCTGTGAAATCCTTATCAGAAAATTCAAGAGGCATAGAGCTCCCTCCCTGTATTCAAATAAACTCCCAAACCATTTCGGATAAGAGTGAAATGTTGGATTGTTTTTATCCACATTTTATATCCTCTGGGGGGAGATTCGGCATTTAGAGTATCAAATAAAAACCCATTCTCATTGAATCAGTTGTGAATTGCGATTATCCGGCCAAATCTTTCCATTTTAAACCCATGACAGCTTGAGGTCCAAAAAGCCTTGACGATTTTAAGCACTACGAAAGCACCTGGTCCTGATAAGCTCGATCCATTATTTTTGAAGCTTTCTGCTGAAGATAGCTTCAAAATTGATTGCATGGTGATATGCATGCCTCATCACAGGCCTTCCTTGCAGTCATTGAACACTGTGTACCATGCAGCTCTTAGATTTGTGACCAACCTAAAATCTTTGAGTCATCATTGTGTGCTCTATGAGAGAGTTGGTTGGAGCTCTTTGTTGTTGCACAGACTGAAGTATTGGCATCTTATCATCTATAAGGCCATGTTAGGTCTGCTGCCTCAGTATCAGAGCGTCCTGATGCCGTCCAGCCCCAGAGTTTGGACGGAACGGGGGAAAAAAAGCTTTCTGTTTTGCGGCACCATTTGCATGGAATCTGCTGGAAACAAAACTTGGACTCAAGGAACAGACTTCCCTGTACTTGTTTAAGAGACGGCTGAATGCTTTAGATGAACAGTCAGCACATTGTACTTGTACTTAACAAAATATTTATTTATAATAATGTATGCTTTCATGTGTTCTCAAACTTTGTTTTTATTTTAGCTTGTATTTCTTTATGTTGTAAATGTATGTAGAATGTGTTGCCTCTTGTCCAGCACAATCTTGAAAAATAGATTATTAATCTCTATGAGGTTCTATAAAGGTCAAATAAAAAGAAAAAAATATATATCTATAATTACATTTTATATATTCTATTTATCTTTTAGAGAAAACTTATTATTCTATATTGTCATTTACTGTGCTTGAGTCCTTTTACTATAACATTAACCTTTTACTTTTTTACAGTATTATTTTAGTCAGAAATCACATGGTCCCTTCAGTAAAAACAAGAAGATTCGTAGATGCTTGTGAGGCTGTCACCATTGACCTTATGAAAGTGGCACAAGAAAGAATCTCCAGCATTCATGATTATGACAATCATAAGGTTAGGACGTGTCTCCATAAGCTTAATAAAGACTATGCCCGCTCAGTGTATGAACCACACACTGAGTGGGCAGAGTCTTGATGATGATTCTGCTTCTCTCTCGAGCAGACATTCCTCTACTGTCAATTCAGTTGTGGCTGCAAAGAGAGCAGAAGCTGCAGCAGATTTAGCAGCTAAGGAAGCAGAGTATGAAGTGTTAAAGGAATCAGTACAGCAGGACCCCAAGATTTCAACACCTGCTACAATGTTGAACAGTAGCATGGTGTCAACTTCACCTCCACAAGCAGATGTATTATACTTAGCACAAGCCATTCAAGACAGCATTGCAATGAACCGACTCCCAATGCCAGAGCCCTCCATATTCATAAGTGACCCAATACACTTCATTGAGGGGAATGCTTCCTTCACCGCACTCATTGATAAAAAGAACCTCTCACCTGCTGACAAATTGAACTGTTTAAGGAAATATGTTGGAGGCACTGCACGAAAATCACTTGATGGCGTATTTTACAGAAATGACAATGATGCATACAAGGACGCATGGGAACGTCTCAACCAAAGGTACGGACACAGTCTTTTTTTATACAACGAGCGTCCAGAGAAAAACTTACAAAATGGCATAAAATACAAACTAAAGACGCCACAGGGTTCAGAGACTTTGCTGATTCCATACAGACATGTCACGAGGCCATGCCCCACATTAAAGGTTTAACTATTCTCACTGACTGTGAGGAGAACCAAAAACTTGTGCAGAAGCTTCCAGACTGGGCAGCTGCAAGGTGGAATCGACAAGCCACCCAGGTAATGAAGGACAGTGGCGAGTTTCCCAGTTTCAAAGATTTTGCCCAGTTCATTTCATCTGAAGCAGAGATCGTTTGCAATCCAATCACTTCATTCCATGCACTCCGCTCATCAGACACTACAACAAAACAAATCTGAGTGTGGCAAGCTGGACTTGACCACCATATTTGTGTCCACCAGATGGCGCATACGGGCAGTATAAATAGCATAGATTTTACATCTATTGTTTACCTCTGCACTTCCGTCTCCTGTGTGTGTGTGTGTGTGTGTGTGTGTGTGTGTGTGTGTGTGTGCACTTGTTTTCAACTCCTGGTGGGTTCCATAACCTGAGATTCCACTCACGTCATGGGGACTGGTTTTACGTGGTGGGGCCCGAACACCGGACCCCACTGGTCCAAGCTTAATAATCAATGGGTAATGCTTTTCTAACGGTCCTTATGCAGTCTCTGTAAAAATATGGAAAGGACCCCTGGAGGTTTACTTTCCTGAAAAAAGTGTGTTATGTGTCGGAACCCTGGTGGTGGGTTGCGGGATATCAAGGAGGGGCACACTGGGGCAATTTCAGTCCAGCAGGCTGGAGCCAATCATGGAGCAGCACAACAGAGGAAATCAGGTGTCAGGCTAGAAAAAGGTGCAAGTGTGTGGTTCATTAGGCTGCAAGAAATCATGGAGGAGCACACTGAAGCGCACGCTTACAAACCACTGGTAAGTGCTGACTACAAGTCATGACTTCAAATTGTTATATAGAATGATTACAAATTATTTGTTGTTTGTGCAGCTTAGTCAAGAGTCCCTAATTGATGAAGTCGACTCAGATTCTGACGATTTAACTGTCAAGAAGAAACCTGTAAAAAAGTATGGAAAAAGAAAAATCAAAAACACTTTTCTTCAAGACTCGGAAAGTGACGAACCAAAGGCAAATAAGATTGTTATCATGCAGCTGCAAAAGAAGAAAAATGGGGGGCGAGTATACAGCAAGAGACACTTCTGCCTCTACTGTTCAATGTCCTGCCACAAAATGTCCCGTCA